AATATGGTTATAGATAAAAGCGAATAAAAAAAATTAAAAATACATTTAATAAAAATGATTTTTGATAGGATATTGACAAAGAAACTTGATGATTTTCACAATATTAAGGTATCAATCAATAATATAGGACCCATAGTTGTAGAAGGAAACCGATGGGAATATTCTAGAAAAAGACTTTCAAATTGAAGATCAAAGTCGCCTTATCTATCCACTGTGGATGTACATCCATGAACAAACCCGAAGCTATACACAAATCGTCTTCATCTTCGCTACACTACGAAATCGCTCTTCCATTGCAAATTAAGGTTTAAGTCTATTTTCATGCTAGCGTTATTGTTTTCCTTCTGTTTCTAGTTTAACTGCTACTAAATTAAATTTACAGATCGAATCTGGTGAAGTTGCTTTTGTTTGATGAAACAAAGTGAACTTAAGGATATGAGAACGAATTTCACTTAGTAAAATGTGTGATCTATATATATGTTTTTTTTTTGGCTTTTTGTATGATTTCAATGTAGTTGTGGTTATTAATTATATGCACTACAATCACATTGCAGCTAAAGCAACATGAGTAACATAATTCAAGTGTATGGGTATCCCACTTTAGAATCAGCAGATGTAATCAAAATATCTCTAGAAAACTACACAGGCCTAGGGACTATTCATGCACTAGAGGTTAAAAAATCAAATCGAGGGTCAAGATCATATGCAAAAGTACAATTCACAACAAGAGAAAGAGTTGAATATGTTCTAGATCTTGCTAATCATAAGCGTTTGAGGTTTGGTACAACGTATTTAAAGGCTTATGTAATGGATCGTGACATAGTTCAGAGGTCCAAACAATTTGCATTTGAGATGGAAGGTGCTACTCTTTATTTTGGTTGCCAAGTGTCAAAGGAGATTTTATATGTGTTATGTAGGATGCAAAATACTTCAGTGAAGTTTGGATTTGGATTAAGAAGGTTATACTTTGTTATTTCATATGCTACTACTTGTTACAAGTTGCAACTCTCGTATGAGAATATTTGCCAAGTTCAACTACATCGTTCACATGGCAATACTACAAAATTTGTTGTTATTCAGGTTAGTTTGAATGAGCTACTATGTCCTTGAGAGTATTATATATTTATCTTTATCTTATAGTGACTAAATCAATTTGTCTTTTTTTTTTTTATAGCTTTATGGTGCTCCTAGAATATTTCAAAAAGCTGAAGAAGACATTCATAACTATTATAGTGACATTCCTGATGATCAATGGGTTAGGGCGACTGATTTTACTCCATCTTCAATCGGACAATCTTCTCATTTATGTTTGGAACTTCCACATGGTGTTGATCTCCCTAATCTTTCTCGCTATTTCAATGGTCAATTCAAGTTAATGAGAGGCCATAGTTTCTCCCAAAACTTGGATCTAGTCCCAATAGTGGGCCCCACTTTTTATCTCCCATACAATATAGTGTTCAAGATTTGTGCATTGGTTCAACACGGCTGCATCCCGGGCCCACTACTTGATTCCAGTTTCTTTGAGTTATTGAACCCACAAAGAAGACACATTGGCTCTATAGAATACGTTCTTGAAAAACTCTACTATCTTAAAGATTGTTGTTATGATCCTGTAAGGTGGATAAAAGATGAATACAAAAACAATAATAGGCTACTATCAAGATCACCCGCTATATCACTAGATTCTGATCTTGTGTATGTCAGAAGGGTTCAAATTACACCATCAAAAGTTTATTTTTGTGGGCCAGAAGTCAATGTGTCTAACCGTGTTCTACGCCATTTTGCAGAATATATAGATAATTTTATTCGTGTGTCGTTTCTTGATGAAGAATTGGAGAAGCTTTATTCAACGGATTTATCTCCACGTGCGAATAATATATTTGGGAAAACAAGAACCGGGATTTATAAGAGGATTTTGTCTGTTCTAAAAAATGGAAGTTATTGGAAACAAAAAGTTTGAATTTCTCGCTTTTTCATCTAGTCAATTACGTGATAATTCTGTATGGATGTTTGCTTCAAATGGTAGATTAAAGGCTGCTGATATACGTGAATGGATGGGTGATTTTAGTAGTATAAAAAATGTTGCAAAATACGCTGCAAGACTCGCTCAATCTTTAGGCTCTTCAAAGGAAAGTTTAAGTGTCGCACATCATGAAGTTTTAAAGATTCCTGATGTGGGAGTTATAAGAAATGGTGTGAAATATATTTTTTCCGATGGAATTGGGAAAATATCGTCTGAATTTGCAAAAAGGGTATCCATTAAATGTGGATATGATTTTATTACATCTGCATTTCAAATTGGATATGGTGGGTACAAAGGTGTTGTCGCTGTGGACCCCACTTCATCGATAAAATTATCTTTAAGAAATAGCATGTGTAAATTTGAATCACAAAACACAAAGTTAGATATTCTTGCAATAAGCAAGTATCAACCTTGTTACATGAATCGACAACTCATCACACTTCTTTCCACCCTTGGGGTCAAAGATCATGTTTTTGAGAAAAAACAAAAAGAAGTCGTGGACTTATTAGATGCGATTTTAAGGGAGCCAATGAAGGCACAAGAGGCTTTAGAGCTAATGTCACCTAGTGAAAACACAAATATTATGAAAGAAATGCTTTCATGTGGGTATAAGCCTAATGCTGAACCATTTCTTTCAATGATGTTGCACGTTTTTCGTGCAACAAAGTTGTTAGAATTGCGTACAAAAACACGGATTTATGTTCCTGAAGGAAGGACAATGATGGGATGTTTGGATGAAACTCGAACACTTGAATATGGTGAAGTTTTTGTACAATTTTCTGAATCAGGAAGAAGGACGATGCATGATGATGATGATGATGATGATGTTAATGGTGGTGGTAATAAGTGTAGAATTGTTGTTGGGAAAGTGGTTGTTGCTAAAAATCCATGTTTGCATCCGGGCGATGTACGGGTTTTGAGGGCTGTTGATGTTCCAAGGTTACATCATATGGTGGATTGTGTTGTTTTTCCACAGAAAGGACATAGGTAAAATATATTCAAGTTAAATTTATATATTGTTTTATGAATATGTATAAATATGTTTTTCCTTTTTTTTTGTTTGATAGGCCACATCCAAACGAATGCTCCAAACGAATGCTCGGGGAGTGATTTGGATGGAGATATTTACTTTGTTTGTTGGGACTCGGATCTAATTCCACCTAAGCAAATTGAACCGATGGACTATAACCCCACACCAACTATGCAACTTGATCATGATGTTACTATTGAGGTACATATACTTTTACTTTTTTACTAGATATACTTGCTCCTATTCTATAAGTTTTTCATATCAAAGATTGATAGTAAGGTAGTGGTTTTGGTACAAAGGAATAGAGATAGAATGGAATTCTTTGCAATCAAAAAATATGTTTGTTTTGACTAATAAAATGGAATGGACCACTCTTGATAGAATGTTGATTCTTTCCTTTTTGTTAATTTTCATTTCTAATAATGGATTAATCACAAAAATACCAAACCGTATAAAAACTTAATTAAGTAGTCTTTTTAAAACTTTTAAAAAATATAATTAAATCATATATAGTAATTTGAGCTATCCAAACAATTTAAATAAATCCATCGGATCTATACCCGTGCTTGTGTTCTCATTCTATCATGGACACAAAGTCAATTGCAAAAATCATGATTCTTGATCAAAACAACAATTCTCTTTTTCTAAATATTACTATAAGGTATATATAATTTAGTGTAATCTTATTTGTGTTTTATTGAGTTTTTCTTATGTTCATTTCTTTTAATTTTGTAAATAAAATAATATATAGTATAATTCTCTTTTTCTAAATATTACTATAAGTTGTATTTCATTCTAGTCTAACGTACCATGATCATGGAGTATAATTCTTAATTCTCACCCCATACCTTATTACAAATTTACAATACTAAGTCCATTTCATTCCATCCAAACAAACAAAAAAACCGACCCTAACTTCTACAAATGTGGTAACACTGAGTTTATTTCATTTTTTACTTTTTGCATTAATTTCATATTTAATTTTTTATTTTTTTATTTTCAGGAGGTGGAGGAGTATTTCACAAACTATATAGTCAACGACACTCTAGGAATCATCGCAAACGCCCACACAGTCTTTGCAGACAGAGAACCCGAAAAAGCAATGTCGAAACCGTGTGTAGAACTGGCAAAGCTCTTCTCAATAGCCGTCGATTTCCCAAAAACCGGTGTCCCCGCAGAAATTCCCGCAAATCTCCGTGTCAAAGAGTACCCAGATTTCATGGAAAAACCGGACAAAACCACATACAAATCCCAAAATGTAATCGGTAAACTCTTTCGGGAAGTCAAACACATGGCCCCACATAATAGCCTTGTCATCCCCTTCACACGTGACGTGGCAAGACAAGCATATGATGCTGACATGGAAATAAACGGGTTTGAGCATTATATCGATGAAGCATTTGATTTTAAAACCGAATATGATTACAAATTGAGAAATTTGATGGATTATTACGGGATTAAAACCGAGGCTGAATTGTTAAGTTGTAGTATCATGAAAATGTCAAGGTCTTTTGATAGGAGGAATGATGCTGAAGTGGTTGGTTTGGCTGAGATCTTTGAGAAAAGAAGCTAGGAATTGGTTTAAGAAGGGGATCAATGATGATCATCATGTGGAAATTGGAGATGATGATGATGATGATGTTTATGCAAAAGCATCTGCTTGGTATCATGTGACATATCATCCGGATTATTGGGGTCGATATAATGAGGATATGAGACGTGATCATTTTTTGAGTTTTCCTTGGTGTGTTCATGATAAGCTTATTGAAATTAAGAGATGCAAAGCGAGGTTTAGAAGAAATGTTGCTTTTAACTTGATATGATCGAACAAGTTTGAACTTAATTGTGTGGTATTTTTCTTGTTGGGTTGTGAATATTGTGATTCTTGATTATTTTATTTAATCTCAAACATTACATGCATACATTCTTAATCAATTTTCATCATAACACCACAATTATCATCATGATCAAGATCAAGAAACTCATGTCTCCATTTATACATTTTGTATAGCTACACTTACATTTACATACAATTTATGATACAGAAATCGATCTTTTGTTATGCCAATCTTGAATCAAAGAACGAAGGGTATGATTAGGAGTAAGCCGATTGTGTTCTAGCTCTAAGTTTGTCAATGGCGACGTATTATGCCCCATTCCAAACCACCTCTCTATAGCACTAAACTCATACGAAAATCCATCTGAAGCAACATGTGGGTCCCTCATTATATCCTGCAATATAGGACAAAAAAAGAAAGAGGGTATAACAGTCTCCTCATCACAATCGACACTAATCTTATTATTTCCAACTTCATCCGCCTTCTTCCTCACCTCTTCCATCTCCTTCATCACCATTGTCATCCCTGTAATCCCACCTGAACACTTTATCGCTAATCTTGCAAGCTCCATAGCCACATGCAATGGCCACTCTCCATCTCTCTGATCTAATACCTCCATAACCGAAGCTTCATTTACCTCATCAAGAATCCCACTCCAATTTCTTCCGGTTAGCAGCTGTAACACCAAACCCCCGAAATCTTTAACATCAGATCTGATATCAGATTCGTTATATGAAGAATCCAGTCGAAACCCATGTAGTTTTGCAACATTATTTCGATCCAAAAGTATGTTGGTTAGGTTCAGATTGCCATGAACGATGGATTTGGGTTTGGATAGATGGAGAAAAGTCAACCCTGAACAAACTTCTGTTGCAATACAGACTCTGGATCTCCAGTTTAAAGCTTGTTTCTTCCGACTATTGGAGAAGAGAACATTCCGGAGACAACTTCCGTGCATATACTCGAATACGACGCATTTAAGCTCTGTACAGAACCCTAACATGGCTACCAAATGTGGGTGTTGTAATCTGCTTATAATCTTTACCTTGCTACCAAATTCTTCTTCTGAAACTTCATATAACTTGATAGCAACTGTTGTATGATTGATTCGAGCTCGATACACGTTTGTGAAATCCCCAGAACATTTTATTCTGGAATGTTCTGAGAAGTGTTCAGTGCTTGATTTGATCTCATCGGGTGTAAACTCTTTGTAAAAAAAGGTCAAATGATTCAATCTTGCGGCTGTTTCTATGGCTTCTTTATCTCTGCAAAACTCGATTCTTCGTTGCATGACGTCTTTTTGTTTCCGGAGTTTTTCGATCTCTTGAATCATGTCAACACGTTTGTGGATCATTTTGGTTAATTGTTCTTCGGATTGGGATTTTGAGAGTGTGGATGATTTGAGTTTGTTTGAAAGCTCCCGTTGGATTTCGAAGGTGGAATCAATCGTACTTCTGGTTTGCTCGATTCCATTCCGGGTTTCAGTGAGTTGCTCTGTAACGGTTTCTAATTCCTTCTCTAGATCTCCTCGTTTTGTGGTTTCTTCGTTTAATCGAGCTTCAATATCATCCACCTGTGTAACCCAGAATTCGATTTATGCAAGAAAGTAATATCAAAAACAGAATCGAATAAGAAATCGATGAGAGTTAATTACCCTTGAATTACAAAGGGTAATCGCCCATTCCGCTTTTGAATATCTTTGAACACTTTCTTTGGCTTCTCTTCTCTTCAAATGTATGGCGTCCTTCGCTTCACCTATTTTAACTCTCAGGAATCCAGTTTTCTGTCTCGAATTCTGAAAATTGTTCTTGGTTTATTCTTTTTTTTTTTTTTTGACCTAAATACATAACTATTCCAGTAAAACGATGAGAAATTTACCAAATCTTGGGGTATATCTAGTTCTGTGAATCCATTGTTCTCCAGAATAGCATTTGAAGCTTGCCCAATTTCTGATTCTTCTTCATCTTCATTTGAATCCAGCAAGTTGTTGAAATACTCTTCAATCTCTTCTGCAGATCTCTCCCAAATTGAAGGTGGATCCGCGCTTGATGAAGAAGAAGGCGAATCCCGAGGGCTTTTTGGATACATTTTTCCGATCCAACCTTTAAAGCTACCTCTCTTTTTGTTTAATTTAGCTATAATCACCCCTTGATCGTCTTCTATAAATCCCTCATTATTTTCTTCTTTCAAAAAGATCAATTTCCCTCCACTTATTAAGTATAATTCACAGAAATTAGGCTTCTTTTGCTGAATTTTCTTTAATCCCATTATTAAATTTCCAAATTTCCTGTGGAAACGAAGAACAGAGTATAATCGACCCAAGTATAAACGAAAAACTTTCTTCACAATTACCATGAGGATTACCTGAAGAAAGTAGCTCCTATCACTAGTTTGCATATTCGAAGACCTGATATTAGTTGCAGGATTCGTTTATGTATTGGTTCATCATATTTCTCGATATTTAAAGTTTCTGTTTTCACCTCGCCACAAAAATCTATGTATTGTTGTAGAATCTTGTTCAGTTTTCCTTGTTGATACTTATTGAGTAAGTCGACACTCTCATCATTCACATAACTTGCAGGGAGTTTTCCATCTTGAATCAAGAAACCGTGTGAGTCAAAATGTTACAGAAAAAAGTCAAAATTGAGAACTGTGCGATGAACTTACAGTATGTGTAAACGAAGTCCCTGTTGATATCTGCATGAAGGATAACAATGGAGATTTGAGAAGAAGACCATTTTCTTAGTGTCCATTCGAGAGTTGCAAACCCTTCTTGTACGTCATTCCCGATTGCTACATACACTTTCTCCATCATTGTCTGTGTCACTGTGTGTATATGTGTGTGCGTTTATGGGGGTTGTTTACACTAAATCGGATCAAATGTGAATAAACCCATATAGAGAAATGATTTTTCTTGATGGGTTTTGAAATTTGAGAAAAGGTTGCTTAAATAAATCCAAAATAAAAGGGACGGTTTTTCTTAGGTGAAAGGGTGGAATTGGACCATAATCTTGTAGTCGCCGTCTTTGAAAGCAATTTTTCCTTGGATATGTCATAAAAACCAAAATTATATTTTATATACTAAATTTCGGAAATGGTACCTATGATTTGTGGAAAGTTGCAATTTTAATCAAAGTTTTCAATTTATACCATTTTTTTCCATATGGTTTTTAAATTTTAGACAAAACTGCAAGAATGGTCCCTGTTGTATGTCAAAACTAGCAAGTTTTGTCCAAACAAGTTTGGACTCGCAAGGGTGGCCCAAAAGTTTCATTTTGTTGCGAGTTTAGTCCAAAATTTTCAAAACTTTTTTAAAAACATATTTGCCCTTGGTATTTTTCCCTTTTAAAACTTTTTATTACAAAAAAGAAAAAAGAAAAAAAAATTATCTCACTCCACTCTTTCTTCTTCTTCTCTCTCTCTCTCTCTCTCTCTCTCTCTCTCTCTCTCTCTCTATATATATATATATATATATATATATATATAGATATATATATATATATATATATATATATATATATATATATATAGAGAGAGAGAGAGAGAGAGAGAGAGTGAGTGAGAGAAATCTGAAAAAGCTTTAGCAGGTTGTATGCTACAACCCAAACTTGTTGTTGCTTACAAAAAGTTAGAAATTTGAGTTCTTGAGTTCATATCTTGTATTTGTATGTGTCCATGTTCTAGATTTCTTGTATGTGTTCTTGTCATCTTGTGTGTGTGTTCCAAATCCGTTTTTGTGATGCTCCGAATTTCGAAAATTCGATCTGGAGATAAAACTTCAACATGTATGTGTTCTTGTGATCTGAAAAACAAAAATCAATCAATACACTCCATCTCTTTCATACACACAACATCAAGAGCACAGTAGAATCGATGATTTTAGGAACAAAAACATTTCTATGTGTTTGTTTTCTAACCCGATTCCAACAACAAAAAACATTTTTTTCGAACTCAAGAACCCAAGAAATCTACAGATCGATGAACAGATCTGAAGCAGAAAACCCTAACCGAAGAACGAAGATGAAAACCTTAATTGAAGAACGAAGCCGTCGTCGAGATCTGAACATGTCCTTACGGCGAATTGAGAAGAAGAGGACGATCGGAAGCAACAACATGGGTGGATCGATGATGGTTGAGGAATCACGAAGAAGGGGAGCATGTTTCTCCAGCGACCCTCTTGGCCTCTTCGTCGTCTCCGACAACAATCGAACTGAAAAAGGAAACAACAGTAACAGTCGACCAATGGAGAGCAACAACGATGCTCGATCTGACTGAAAAAGAAAAAAGAAAAAGGAGAACGGAAACGACAGCAGGTGGGGATTTCGTGGGATTTGTCAGCAACCGAAGGAGGGGTGGCTGGAATGGAGGCAACAACCTCCTTCCTTCTGTTTCGTTTTTCCGATGAGTCAAGGAAGAAAAGAAGGAGAATGGAATCGGGAATAGCAGCAGCTGAGGGTGTTTAGGTGGTGCTTCGACAGGAGGAGGGTGAGAATTTGTGAAATCGCCGGTTCCTCCTTCCCTTCCTTTACCGGAGGTCAAAACGGGAGAGAGAGAGAGAGAGAGAGAGATGAGTACTTTCTATTTTCTTTTCTTTTCTAGATTTTGTATTAAAAAAACTGAAAAAAGAAAATACCAATGGCAAAATCGTCATTTTATAAAAATCAAAACAAAATTGACCAAACTCGCAGCAAAATAAAACTTTTGGACCACCCTTGCGAGTCCAGAATTGCTAGTTTTGACATACCACAATGACTATTCTTGCAATTTTGTCTAATTTTTATGCAATCGGTCCACACCATCTCTCTCTCTCTCTCTCTCTCTCTCTATATATATATATATATATATATATATATATATATATATATATATGAAATTATATTTTTCTTAATCATTTATCTGATTTAACCTGGTGTATAAATTTTCTCTCTGGTTATCATAATGTTTTTCTACTCGATTTTTCATGTATGTATTTAAATTTGGTAGAAAATTTGTTTATAGTTTTTAGAAAAATCTGCAAAAAAAAATAATAAAATAAAATAAAATAAAATAAAATCTTTGTATTTGGTTCTGTTGACAAAAAAGTCACTACTTTTTTTTCTTTTGCATTTTAACCATTGAAACTGATAAACATTTGAAAAACAACATTTGTAATCGGTTAGCGCAGGTTTTAAGAGTTAAATTGCAAAAATAAAAATCATGGATGACTTTTTCGTTAATAAGGTTAAAGTTTAAAGACTTTTCTAAAGATTTTTTTTATATATACAGAATTTATTTGAAGAAAACTTATATTTATTTATTAAAAAACTCAAAATAATGATATTTTTTTATGAAAAAACACAATAATGATAATTCATATATCATTTTTGGAATTTTTTGTTATTCTTTTTAATAAATATCGTTACTAATATCATAAAGACCATCTATACCCTATACCCCATATAATCGAAGATCTTTTCACAATCGAACAACACCTCAGATTATAAAGTTTTATCAAGGTTTGTTATTCCTAAATAAAACTCCATTATACATACTATGTGGCCTATAAATGCACTACTTATGACAAGTCAACAAAAGTCCGTTTTTATGTTCATTAATGCCTCACATTTGTCAACTTTTTCATTTTAACATTTTATCAGGTTTTACACCCTCTTAGTCGGTCATCATTACAATAAAAGCCCTCATATTTAAACATCACCACCACCACACTCCGTCACCACCAACAACACCATCTTCACCACCACACTCCGACACCACCACCACCCTTTGCCACCAACAACACCATCTTCACCACAAAACACAGGTATCCACCCATCAACATCATCTCCGACTCACCTTCTGCATTCTTCATCTTCGACCTACCATCATCACAATCGTTCACCTACTGTTCTTTCTCTTTACAACCTGATAAAAAGCTCAAAATTATAAAACTTACCTAATTGTGAGACATTAATGAACACAATTTTGGACTTAGGATATAACCTCACATTTCATGTAAATATGAGGGCTTTATAACAATAACCCTAATACACGAGCTACAATACTTATGAAAACACATGTTAAATACAATTAATAGGACTTTTGTTAATTTTTCGTAAGGAGTGTGTTTCTAGGCCACATATATATCATGGAGCTCTATTTATGAATTATATTTAAATGATACATTTATAATTGTAGTAATTGTATTTACTAAAGAGAATCATAAAAAAAAATCCCAAAAATGATATATAATTGATCATTATTGTGTTTTTTAATAAATAATATATATATATATATATATATATATATATATATATATATATATATATATATATATATATATATATTGTGAAAGGGGTGTAGATGTTATCTTTATTTTATGATTTTTAATAAATAAATATAAGATTTCTTCAAATAAATTTAGTCTATATACAAAAGAAAATCTCCAAAAAAGTCCTTAAACTTTAACCTTATTAACGAAAAAGTCATCAAAGTTTTTTTTTTTTTTTTTTTTTTTGCAAATTAACCCTTAAAACTAACACTAATCGAGTACAAGGGTTGTTTTGCAAGTGTTTACCGGTGTCAATGGTTAAACTGCAAAAGTGACAAAAAAAAATCAGTGGTTACTTTTTTGTCACTAGAGCCAAAATATAGGGATTTTTTATTTTTTTTTTGCAGATTTCCCTAGTTTTTGCAATTTACAAATATTTTTATGGTTTGTAAAATCTTTAATTTTATGTTGGTAAAATTGAATTTAGAGTTTTTTAAAAGTTTTCATTTTAAAATAGAAAAATAAATCTCTAATTCCCTCTAAGGATCCCTGATCCCCATTACGGGTGAGGATGGAGATTGGAATAAGGATTCCTGGATGGAGATAGGGATTGGGGTTCCCCGACCCCATTTCTATATCTATTCTTAATGCATTGACCTCAAGAAAACCTATGGCACATACTCTCGTTCCTTTAACTCCCGATCTCTCCTTACATCTCATCCCATTTCCTTATGCTCGTGAGCTCACCATCATTGCATCTGGGTCATCATTACTTCCATAGAGGAATAGATAGATTTGTTGTCCCTAAACCCAGTTCCTCTTTGAAAATTGAAGTAATCCAAATAAGAAAAAAAAACCTAATAAAAAAAACCCAAATAAATCCTATCAAAACGTTAATCACACTCTTCTTTGACAATCCATTTAACACCTCCAGCGCATTACCTAAATCAACACACATTTTATCAATTTATATTGATCCTCCCATTCACAAATTAACATATGATCGAATTGATGATCCATTATATTTCAAAATAAGTCCTTGAGTCTTTCAACCTAAGGTTGAGGGTTCAAGTTTCGTTGTGGACGAAAGATGTAGTATAATATATCCACACACACACACACACACACACACATATATATATATATATATATATATATATATATATGATCCATTATATTTCAAAATAAGTCCTTGAGTCTTTCAACCTAAGGTTGAGGGTTCAAGTTTCATTGTGGACGAAAGATGTAGTATAATATATCCACACACACACACACACACACACACACACACACACACACACACACACATATATATATATATATATATATATATATAACAGACGAACAGTTCAACATGACAGACGACTAACTAAACTAGTCTATGTAACGACCCAAATTTTCAAAAGAATTTTTTTTTTCATTTTTAATTAGTCAAACATATTTCCAATAACCATGAAATCCCAAAACAGATTGTTTTCAAATCCACATTCATTACAACTCTATTAAAAAACATCAGAGTGTCCCATAAAATATCGGTGAGAGAGTGCACGTCGCACCATCAAGCCTTGCCCTTACCCTTGGGCTCAGATGTACCTGAAACAAATCCACAAACTGTAAGCTAATGCTTAGTGAGTTCCCCAGAGCATACCCCACACATAATCCACATAACACATATCATATCAGCTAATAACCTAGCTCTACCACATAACATTAGCTAAGA